ACGCTTTCGAAGGATTGAGAAAACACAGCGAGCAGCATCAATAGGTGAGACAGTATCGCATGTGCGCTTGTATTGGCAATATCTTCCTTGCTCTGCCCATTCGGTAGCAGCCTGGCCCCCAGGTATTTAAACCTGTCTACTTTTTCGAGTTTATGGCCATTTATCCCCAGGAGTGCCTTCTTCTGATCAGAGATGCAGCTCGAGTATAACTTCGTCTTTTCAGTATTTAGGGACATGCCAACTGACATGGCGATCTAATTTACCCGCGACATTACAGACTGTAGACCACCAAAGCTTGAGGCTAGAAGCGCAATATAATCGGCGCAGTTGAGATCAGTCAGCCGGCGTCCGGGTGTACGCTCAGCACTGTCCTCTTCATGTAGGGCTTTCCCGAGAATCCGGTCGATAGACGTAGTTTACCGACCGGGGGGACCGTGCAGCGACCTGCCCAACGCCTATTCGGTGCTGAAATTCAATTTGGCCAGCGTTAGGTAACCAGATGGTCGAGCAATCATCACGTCCAATTCCACCACATGTGATGAAATTTCGGCAGGTCACGGCCTGCACGCCGTTCATCAGGCAATTAGCGCATAAGCGGGCAATTATCCTCGGTAGGAGTGTACCTAATTTTCATAAGTGTGCAATATAATAGCAACTCCCTGTGCGTTAATTATCCGTTGCGACTACTCTTTATGTTAATGTCTCTGATGAGGAATCCTTGACGGACTTCGAGACGTCAGGCGAATAAAAATCTTTTCCCAGCGATCACATCTTCTTCTTTTCAATTGCTTCCTGGGCTTCACATGTTCGCTTGTATTGGCGAAACTGGGAATATTATTTACGTCGGAGTTTGGAAGGCTTATTACTTTCTATCACGGGCATGGCATGAACAGGTCAAGATTGTAATGCGGGTCAATGTATTTAAATGCAATAGACATTGCTTCTGAAGACCCTACTAAAAACTATATATAAAATTATTCAAGTTAAAATATGTATATATGTTATTATAACATAGGGTGTAACGTATCCATTTGAACAAATTATTTTGTAACCGGGCTTCAAGTACAGTCATCTAGAAGTATCAGAGCTTAGATAAGTCAAATAATAGATATCAGCGTTACCTGTATGTGTGAGCAGAGCATTCGTATGTTTTAACAGATCTGTCCTATCGGATAAACGTTATCGTTAGTAGGTAGCATTGCCAGCAAAGACAAGGGAGACTGAAAGAACCCTTTCTGACCTATCAACTGTCATCAGTCAGCCATACCAAACTACCAGCAGAAGCTCTAACCTGGAACTCTTTGATCAGAAATCGAATGCTCTAACCCTTGAGCCGCAAGCTTTTTTCTTGGCGGTTTAGATGGGAGAGATATTGACACTCCGTCGACCGTCTTCGAGATTAATTTCCATGAATCGGCGTACTCTGTCAACGGCGTAGTCGGTATCAGCCAGCCGACGTCCGGGCGCGAATTCTAGCCCGATGTTTAAACTTATTCCGTTTTTTGTATTCTTTTACTCACTAAGGTTGGCATGAAGACCCAGACTTGAGGCCCGATTTCGAATATCTTGTCGAGCGGATGAGGGAGATGAGACCAAATGCGGAGACGTATCTCACTTTTGAGGTATGTACGCTTGTCGAATGTCCTTATTTGCTCTGACCCACCAAATACGACGTGGCTAGCATTCAATTATTTAACTTTTGAAGCCAAATCTGAAGGGCCCTGAGCCGACAGTTCTAAATTGATCTTGCCCATTAATTTCTGGCTAATATTTTATGAGCGTTCCCTAAAAAATCCCCGGGCTGCCTACCCTGTCGCGAGACCGTCACATCATGCGTCCCGACGCCTCCCAACCGAAGCGAAAGTGAGCGACATGAACTAGTGCTCGGACCCCTTTTTTCCCACAACCCTATCGCAAGGGGTTAAGTGAGTTAAACCCTAGCAACTGCGATCTTCAGACTATGGTTACATAGTAGAGAAGAAGCCAGTGGAGGCCAGAGTAGTAGGAATACTTTATTGTGTACGCAAAGTAACGAAGAACAGATAGAAAAAGTTTTTACCTCGGAGCACACGTCATTCCGCTGGAGCGCCGTGGTCATAAGTCATGTCTTGCGGCCGAGGGTGGGGAAAAAGGGACATGTTTGAGTGGTGCTTAGGCAGCTGCAAGAACCTAGACGCACGTGTGTGTGTGTCCGAGTGGAAGTAGGTCAAGCTTCTGCAGGTCAGCGCGTCTGTAAGCGCTGACTGAGGTATTATATGACCTTGAGGCAGCTGGCCTTGGACAATGACGCCGGAAAAAGCAATGGAGGGCGTCGGACGGCAGAGACCACTAC